ATAAAAATAATGAATTAAGTTTAAAAAAAATCAAAATTCATTTCGTTCAAACTCTTCATAAGGCCACACCTTACTTCCTGTTAACCTTACTTCCTGTTACCTTCCAATCAAAATCCAAGGTAATTCTTCTTACTGCCCTGTCTCATTCTTCTCCAGACTCCTTTCTGCCCCTACATTAAGTTTCTATCAGTGCCACAGCTCATTTCAACGAACCCTTAAGCCAATAATCTTACCCTATTACAGGACTTTTCCCTTCCCTGAATTCTTTTTCTGCAGGGAAGGGGTGAACTCAGGACCTTGCACTTGTCAGACAGGCATTGTGCCTCTGAGCTATATCCCCGGCCCTCTCTGAATTCTTAAGACAGTAGTGTGCTGATTCTTGGGAGGGTTCCTTATTTATTTACAATGTTTGTCCACAACCTGCACCACTGCAGAATTCAAATATATCTCCCAATATAACATTACCAACTCTGAAAGTGTTAAGACACATATACAACATCAACAGGAAGCCGCTATAGGACACCACAGAAGCATTTAGAATCAACTCTATAATGTAGAACTTAATATATGCTGTGTAGTATAGGCTCTCTAGAAGTATTATACAGGTTGATTTATTTACTGTAATAAACTGGCCAGAGGAAGTGGCATAGTTCATTCTCTTCAGAGCTTTCACAGTGTACAGGGCACAAAATATGTGCTCAATAAAAACCTGTTGGTAAGACCCAGAGGAGTGAATAAGCAAAGCCAATGATGGCAATAATTGCAATGGGCATGTTCACATTTGGGATGGTGAGCAAGAACAAACAAAGAACAATGACAGGGCAAGATGTGGCACAATAAAATAAGAATGGGAGCCAACTTGTATCCCGACTTTGTACCTATATGACCCTAAGCAAATCATTTCTTGGGCCATAATTTACCTAATCTATACAAAATCAGGGGATTGGACTACATGGCTTTGAAGCTATGTTTTGACTTTAATGCTTTGGACCATGGGCTAAACCGACGAGGAGGCAGCCTATTGGTAGTAATAATAAATTAATCTAAAATCCAATAAATCAATGGAGTTTAGGGCAATGAAACTTTTCTGAAGGTGTAAAGAAGCATTCTGTTAAGGCCATTCCTTTTCTTTTTTTTGGTAGTACCAGGGATTGAACTCAGGATCTTGTGCTTGCCAGGCAAGCACTTATTCCACTGAGCCATCTCCCTGGCGCATTCCCTTCTTTTGAACTAATCATCATCCTACAGAAAGATACAATGTCATGAAAACTGTATCTACTTTATTGTACTTTCAAGAGAAAATGGGTGAGGAAACTGCTTGGCCACTGTGTCTTCCCTTTCATAGTAGCCCAACCTCATGCCACGGGGTGTACTTCTTTTCCTACTTTTACTTGGCCCAACTTCCTCTGCAGAGTCTGTCTCTTTTCCTATCTTTAATAAAACTCTGCTACCACTAAAAAAATCCGAACATATATACATTGCTTGTCCGCAGTGAAGTACACACTGGTAAGTACTAAAAATTTAGCAAAAAACAAAACAGACTTATCCTTCACTGCCACGAAACCACAGCAGTCATTTAATTCCTAATGAAAAGAATATGAACTGCTCTGAGTTTAAAGCTTTGGATCTTCTTTCTTAAAAAACATAAAATCATAATAATCTGCACATGATTTCAGGTTTTCACAGCATCTCATTTGTGGAGCTGCCCTGGACTGCAAATTAATAACCCTTACCAGTACCTATAACTATACTTACATACCAATAAAGAAATTCAAGCTCATAAAAGCCTATATTCTGTTTGCTAAGGGAGTTCAGCAAAGATTTCCAATGAAAATGATCTAAATGGGCCAGCGAGATAGGTCAGTTGAATAAACACTTGCCTGGCAAGCGCAAGGGCCTGAGTTCAATCCCCAGGTACACACACACACACACACACACACACGATTTAAAGGATCATTGCTAAAAAGATTAAGTCTTGGTGGCACATGCCTCTCAGCACTCAAAAGGCTGAGGCAGGAGAATCACCATAAGTTGAAGGCCAGCCTGGGCTACATAGTAACTTCATGGTTAGGCTGAAGTACATAGCAAGACCATGTCAAAAAGGAAAAAAAAAAAAAAAGGAAAAATATTTTTACCAAGAATTTCTTATTCCAAATAATATTCTAGATAAGTATTCCCAGATTATATTATTTAACCTATTATTCCTCTGATTAACAGTGTACATTAAATGGTCTTTCTTGAAAAGCTACTTGCACATGAATGCATGTTTCGATTTAAAAATCTGTACTTCATACCCACCACTCACATGAATAAGATCCACCTGGTCATGACATTAATTGCTGTACACATCTATTCCTAATAAGCAGCTTCAATAATGGCAACGAACAGATTCCAGAAATGGAGGGCACTGTTGCTCTCGTTGGCTCTCACATTTTCTAATGAAATGATCCTGGACAAATTATTTAGGCTCTGACCTGTGTCTTCATTTACAAAAAGGGAACAGTAATACTTATCTGAGAGGGCTGGCATGAAAATTGAATAACGTGTGAAAGCATTCAGATATAAAATAGGCAAGGGGAAAACAAATCACTTCACGTTGCTCACAAAATGTCATTCACAGAACATTTAGAGCTAGTCAAATAAGCTTTTTTTTTTCTTTTAAATTTTGAGACAGGTTTTCAAAAGTTGCCCAGGCTGGGCTCCAACGTGCATTCTCTTGCCTCCTCCTCCTCCCAGAGTGCTGGCATTATAGGCGTGTGCTACCATGCCCAGCTGCACGTAACATTCTTATTACATACAAAAATTAGTATATTAAATTTTTTTTATCTGGCACAACATGGTGGGCCAGCCAAGCTTGTAGTCCCAGCACTTAGGAGGCTGAGGCAAGAGGATTATTACCATGAGTTTAAGACCCACTTGGATTACATACTGAGACCCTGTCTCATTTTTTTTTTTTCTGTCTGAAGTAAAACAATAAATTGCCTAGTGAATTTTGTCTTGGTTAAGTGTCCAACAGTAAAGTTCGAAATTATCTAAAGTCTGCAGAAAGGCTTGGGAATTTCCATGATGCATAAGTGTAGTCTCAAGGTGAGCACAGTAAATACTTACAAAACAGTCTTAATTCCAAGCAGTCCAGTTTGCTTTCACGGATTGTTTTAACTTTTATACAGAACAATCATTATTTCATTATCTAAGTTATAAAGTTTATAATACTTAGAATGTATAAAATGATTTAGAGATGAACTACTTGACAAAATCAAATGAAGTCAATAATAGTATTGAGGTTTTTCTTGCTTTGGCAGAGAGGATGTTTGTGATTAAAAGAATACCCTTTAACTTGTGATATGTTCTGCAGTCCAGTCTCCACTGCAGCACAAGATAAATTCATGTAAAACATAGGTTTTCCCCCTCTTTTTGGCTATGTGAAAATATTCAAAGGTCACATTTTTTAATTGCTTCATTTACAATGTACACCTGCATTATGTCAGTAGCCACATTCAGGGATGTTCTTCCTTTAAAGCTTAAATTGAGGCTGGGAAGGTAGCTCAGTGGTTTAGTACTTGCCTAACATGCATAAGGCCCTGGGTTCAATGCCCAGTACTACAAAATAATTAAGAATTCTAAAAAAACTAAATTGAACAACTTTTTAAATAATTTGGTACTATGAAACAAATAAACAAAATCACCATATCTCTTCAAAGCTAAGCTCATAAAGGCAACAAAAGAGTAAACTGATTTCTCACTCCCTACCAGAAGGCTCTAATGGTTTCCCCAAGGCGGCATATTATCCAACTCCAAAATATCATACACTAATATCTGCTGCAAAAACAATCCAGCGATCCTGCAATTATGCCACACTTTTGTTCGAAGTACTTAATTAACTCCCTTCCCTCTTCAGACACGTACACAGTGGAAAAACCTCAGATCTAGGTTTTTTTTTTTGATAAGGGAGAGAAACTTCAGGTGAGGGGGGCAAAGAGAAGCGAAGAGGGTAACGGGTTGCGTAAATTGGGGTGGAGAGCGGAGTGAAGTTCTAGGGGCATCAGATGCACACAGGACAGAGCTCAGAGGAGGCAAGGGGCGAAGAGGTGAGGAGGGAGGCAGTCAGAGCCCTTACATTGGTATGCGCTAGGCGATGGAGAGCCAGGTGCGAGGGCCAGCCCTCGCAGCTGCTCGTCCGGTCCCAGTTCTCCCCCACCACCGCTACCGCGGCCCTGCAACCACTCGCGAGAGTGGGCGGCGGAACCAAGCAACTGCAGGGCCTGCAAGGCCGCAGGATTCCCCAGTCGCAGCGGCCCGGCCGCCCGCCCGCCCCCAAGCGCCCTGCGTCTCACCCGCCGCTAGGCGAAGGCTGCGGAGGCTCCCCATGGCCGCCTGCTCCGCGGACTGCACAGCACCTCTGGCGGCAGCGGCGGCGCTAGCGCGCTCAATGTCACCGAGCCGGGTAGGAAGGACGCGGCACGCGTGGGGGCGGAGCCTGCTGCGCCTGTGCGTGACGCTCGGGGCGTGCGGTACGTGCGCGACGAGCCCGGGCGCTGGGCGCGGGTCGGCGACCTGGCGCTCCCGTGGAGCGTTGTCAGTTTAGAGGAAAAGTGGATGAGGAGGATGGAGTTTTGTGAGCTGTGAGATTCGGTAGTACGTCGTCTAGATAAGCCAGTACTTCAAAATACCGTTCCTCTAAGTATTTTCAGCGAATTTATGCTTTACCAAGACAGTTGGACTCCGGGCCCCGTGGCCCTGGGCTTTAGTGGCTTTTGGAGCATCTGTCAGGTTAACTTGAGAAATTAACGTATTTTCCATTTTGTTTGCTATTCACTAATATTCTTAAGACATCATTTCCACCCCTAACCCACCCACACTACCAGAAATGGCCCTTGTTTGTTGACGCTTCCGACTGGTATCTTTCTTATGTAGTCTCGGGAAAATGAGAAGGACTAAAAAGTTAGGCTCATTTTCCCACAACCCGGTGTGACCACCTTTCAGTAAGAAGACAGAATTGGAATAAACGATCCTTCGAGTTTTGATCTTCTTTGGCTCGTGTATGTGGGCCAGTTCCAGGAGGACATGTTAAAGGGATTGGAGGGAAGAGCCGGACAGCGGAGTGACAAGGTCCACGTGGAAGAACCCCGAAGAAACCTTGCTCTCCGCCGTTTGACGCCGACTACTTTTTTGGTCAGGCGGCAACGCGGACACCTATGCTCCGCGGTGATTGGCCTGCAGCGGGGCCCTCGCGTTTGTCCAATATGGCGGCGCCCAGTGGCGGTGTGAACTGTGAGGAGTTCGCCGAGTTCCAGGTGATGGGGTTTTCCTCGTGTGGCAGACGTGCCCTCCTTTTGTCCCTAGACACTGTTGGAGTTCTGGCCTTGGAGAGAGAGTGGGCCTAGTATAGAAAAGGCTGGCAACTCAGGGCTCGTTTTTCCTGAGCCATTGGAGGTCACGGGGGGCGAGTCTGGCCTTGGGAAGCGAGGCTGCTCGGTGCGGGGGTCATAGTTCTTTCTGTGCTGCCCAGGCGGTGGCTGGGAAAATGGGTCATTCCGCAGTGGTGAATCCGAACTGTGGCTCTGTGGTCAAGGATTGTAGCTGTCTTATAGCAATTGCCTCAGCTCGATTCTCAGCCCTTGCTATTTCTTTTCTTTTTAAAATTCAGTTTTGGGGGAAGGGAGGAAAGAGAGATCTTGATTACTCAATAAAACAAAACACTTGTACAGTTTCCTGTTTTGGTGAGAGGAGGTTTGAAAGCTTAAAGTCTTAATTCTAACCCTTGTTCTGGTGCTGTTGTCTTCCTAACCCTTAGCGAAGGTGAAATATTTAAGACAATGGCTATGTCTTTTATTTTCAAGCATTAAAAGTCTCACGAATTCAAGAACCGGATTTTTTTTTTTTTTTTAAGTCGCTAAGAAAGTATTTGTTATTATGCAGGCATGAGAGCCCTGCCATCTGGTTACAGAGTTGAATTGAAAAGTCATGCCTTTTAAAATGGTGTTTTTGGCCAAGTAGATTAAAAAATCATTTCGCATGTCTTTGACCTAAGCTTTGTTATCTCAGTGGTTTGTAGGTAGTGGTATTCTTTACAGTCTCAATTGACTGACTGACTTGACAAACAACATTTGGCTGAGGAATTCATATGGGGTCTTCCCACCATTATTTGCCCTAGATGTGCTCAATGGCAGCTGTACTCAGATGTGATCATTATATTCAGTAAATACAAACGCTTGTAAAAACATGTTTAACAAATAGAAAAAAATCTGCAGAATTACAACGTTTATTAAAGTTAACCAGCCCATCTGTGGTCTTGGTCTTGTCACATAGGTATGGTGACGTTACTTGAGGTAATTAGCTCATATAATTAATGGTAGTCGTAAGATCTGTAGGGAAGACCAGTAATTAGGGAATTGGACTCCTACTATGGGCTCTCCTGCTTCTGTTATTAACAGCTTTGTGATCTTGAGCTAATCACTTAAACTCCTTTGGAAATTAACTTGAATCACTAAAATTGTGTTAAGTGACATTTAAAATCGCTTCCTTTTTACCATTATTTAACCAAAAAGAGCAAATTTCATAGGATCTCTTTGATCCGATAAAACATTCAAAGATCATAAGTGAATCATATTAGTGAGACCTGGAGGAAGTTTGGCTAGTACTTTCCCAGATGTGTGATTTATAATGGAGAATATCCCAAATAAAAGTCAGAATATCTGGTTTTCTAAAGCTGACCTTGGAACATTTCTTTTGGTTTTTGAATTAGGGTCTCACTATATTGTTTCAGGCAGGCCTTGAAATCACTGTGTAGCTCAGGCTGGCTTCAAACTTAGCATTCCTGCTACTTGAGCATTCTTGTAAATGGATATTAATATTATTTGCCCCTACTGCCTCAGAGACATGAGAACATAAGTGAGGGTGCTATAATTTTAGCACTTGGGAGGCTGAGACAGGAAGATCGCTGTGAGTTCAAGGCGAGCGTGAACTACATAGGGAGACTCAAAAAAACAAAAAGTAAAATTTTAGTTTAAATTTAGATGAATTTGATAAAATTACATGATTGGTATTGATCAAAATTTATATTTTTGAAAGTTACTTAGTTGTTGGGTTTTGTATATAAGCATCATGAATGTGAAAAACTACTGAATACTATGGATGAGAAAGAAATTTTTTTTGTCTTAAAAATTAAGTGGAGTTTAATCAGAATTATGAAAATGTTCAAAAAACTAGAGAAGTTGAAAGAAATGTGCTGTATATATCTATGCCATCTAGATTTCTACAGTGAATAATTTGCTATATTTGTTCTTACCATATCCATTTATCCATCTATGCGTCTACCTTTTTTTGGTGCATTTTAAAGTAAATTGCAAATACTGATATGCTTTACTTCTAAATATGTCAGCATTCATATCATTAACTAGAGATTAGTATCTGTTTACTATTTGGGAGAGGTAAAGTTTTATATACAGTGAAATGCACAAATCTTTAAAGAGTACTACAGGTCAGAGTTGGACAGTTACATACACCTGTAATACCAGCATCCATCAACAGAGACTGATGTTATCATCTCCAAAAGTTTCCTCATGCCTCTTAGTCCCTACTTTTGTCCTCCTCTCTTTCTTCACAATCATTCTGATTTTTTTCTCAGTTGTATATTAAAATTTAAGAAGTTTTAGTGTTCTAAGCTTTTGCAACTTTTTCCAACTTACTAGATAGCACTGCTAGAAAGCACCTTTCCAAAATGAAATAAAATACCAAAAAAAAAGTGTTTCATATTGAGTGCCTAGAGTCCATCTGGTTGTAGATGGCTGTCTTTTCATTGCCTTGTCAGGTAATTGCTTCTCTGCTGTACAGAGGAGAGGATTTTCTCTTACAAGGACACCAGTTCTATCGGATTAGAGTCCCATCCTTGTGACTTCTGTTACATTGTTTGTAGTACTGGAGATTGAGCCCAATGCCTTTGCACTGAGCTACATCTGTATAGTCCCTTGTTATTTTGATAAAATAGTCTTGCTAAATTGCCTTAGGTGGTCTTGAATTTGTGATTCTCCTGCCTTAACCTCCCAGAGTGTAGGGCTTTTAAGCATGTAGCATCACATCCAACTTTTCTTTTGAGAGGTGGGGTCTTACGTTCTTCAAGTGCCCTGGGTGTGTTGCTAGGTGCAGTTTCCCAGACTGTTCCTGAACTCCAGTCCTCTTGCCTCATCATCCCTAGTAGCTGGGACTATAGCTATGTGCCACCATATCCAGATGTGCCCTCCATTTGATCTTCCTTATCTCCCTAAAGGCCCTTTCTCCAAGGGATTAATGATTGTACCTGAACTTTGGGGGACATATACCTACCAGCTACCAAGCACTTGGAGAGATCTTAGGGAACAAGGTATAGAACATGGATCTTAATCTGTGTAAGATATAAAACATGTAGAAGATATTGAAAATATCAGTGAAATGCTCAATAGCTTAGAGAAATAAATCAAGAGATGGTCATTAGGTTGGAGCTTTGGTAAATAGAAGTAATAGTATACTAAGAAAAAAACTTCATGTACAGTTGTGCATCTCTTTACAACAGATATATTTTAAGAAATATGTTATTAGGTAATTTCATCATTGTGTAAATACAGTCTATGCTTACACAAGTGTAGATAATACAAGTTAGCCACTCTTCCCTTCTTTTTTTTTTGGTTTGCTCAGAATACCTTCAGGGCAGGTTTGGCTGGCTTGAGTTCCAGGAATTGAACCACAGCAACCTGAGCCTGACTGCTTTGTTGAAGCAGCCAAAACTGTTTTTTTTTGCAGAACCAGGAATTGAACTCAGGCCCTTGCACTTGCCAGGCAAGCACTTATTCTATTGAGCCATCTCCCTGGCCCTTCTACCTTCTTAATGCAGTCAAGAGGTACAGTAAACAAGCTTTATGAGGCTGCTGTAAGTAGAATATATTTGAAACTAACAAAACAGTACATAAACCAATAACTTGATTATTTGTCACTGTCAAATATTACATATTATACATAATTACAAGATTTGCAGCACAATAGGTATACCAGCATCCCACCACGTGTGAGTAATGCATTATGATGCTACAGTGACTACAATATTAGGTTGTAGGAATTTTTCAGGTCCATTATAATTTTATAGGGCCTCCATCTTTTTTTTTTTTTTAATGTTAGGGAAGGATCTACAGGATGTTCAGGGTCTCACTACTAGATCAGACTCCTAGTGATTCTCCTGTTTACAGCCTCCCAAATGCTGGGATTACAGGCATGCACCACCATGCCCAGTCTCAATTGCCAATCTCAGCATGTCCCAGGGGCAGGCCTGAAAGCCTGGAGATTGAACTGTGGCCCCTGCTTGCAGATGCTTTAATCCAGTGAGCTATTTGGCTGGCCCTGCCATCATTTTTATAATCCATTTTCTTTTGTTTTGTGACAGGGTCTAGCTATGGAGATTAGGCTGGCCTTAAACTCACTATATGGTCCATGCCAGCCTCAAACTCTCAGGATTCCTCTTGCCTCATCCTCCCAAGTGCTGTGATTACAAGGT